GGTTCAAGCGATTCTCCTGCCTCAGCTTCCCGAGTAGCTGGGACTACAGGCAGCGCCACCACGCCCTGCCTCCCAAACTGTTGGGCTTCAGGTGTGAGCCACCACGCCCGGCCTAGCTAATTTTTTAATTTAAATATTTCGTGGAGACAAGGTCTAACTATTGCCCAGGCTAATCTAGAACTCCTGGGCTAAGCGATCCTCCTGCCTCGGGCCTCCCAAATTGTTGGGCTTACAGGCGTGAGCCACCGCACCACGCCGGCAGAACATTTCTACTCTAATGAAAATTTCTGTATTTTTAGTAGAGACGGGGTTTCACCATGCTGGCCAGGCCGGTCTCCAACTCCCGACTTCAGGGGATTCTCCCACCTCGGCCTCCCAAAGTGCTGGGATTACAGGCGTGAGCCACCGCGCCCGGCCTAATTTTTTAATTTAAACTTTTTGTGGAGGCAAAGGGCTCACTATTGCCCAGGCTAATCTCGAACTCCTGGGCTAAGCGACCCTCCTGCCTCGGGCCTCCCAAATTGTTGGGCTTACAGACGTGAGCCACCGCGGCCGGCCTAGCTAATTTTTTAATTTAAATTTTTTGTGGAGACGAGGTCTCACTATTGCTCAGGCTAATCTCGAACTCCTGGGCTAAGCGACCCGCCTGCCTCGGGCCTCTCAAATTGTTGGGCTTACAGGCGTGAGCCACCGCACCTGGCAGAACATTTCTAATGAACAGTTTTTAGTTTTCCTAGTTCCCAACTGTACTTGGAAGTTCAGAGTCCATTTAATGTACTTCTAATAATTTAGGCTGTTTTATTTTTTCTATATTATTACCCTCTCAAAGAACAAAAGCAGGTAACTCCTATAAAGTCTAATAGTCTGAAAATTGTAGTGTCCGTTTTCTCTTTAGGCATAAGGTTAAGTTTTGCTAAATGCTGAGTAGCGTTTTAATGCTCTACTAGATGTACATGTAAGAATACTAAATGGAGGGGAAGTTAATTTTTTTTTTTTTGAGTCAGATGGGGTCTCACTGTGTCACTCAAGCTGGAGTGCCAGTGCGTGATTATGGCTCACCGCAGTCTGTCGACCTCCCTAGGCTCAAGTGATCCTCCCGAGTAGCTGGTACTACAGACACGCGCCACAATGCCCGGCTAATTTTTTTGTATTTTTTCGTAGAGACGGGGTTTTGCCATGTTACCCAAGCTGGTCTTGAACTCCTGGGCTCAAGTGACCTGCCTGCCTCAGCCCCCCAAAGTGCTGGGATTACAAGCGTGAGCCACCGCCGCCGGCCATAATTTTAATCACTATTTTTCAGAAACCATTACGTCTTAAAGAATGAGGAATTGACCGACACCGCAGGTTCAACATGTAAACAGGGACGCTCATTTGAGAATAAGCCACATTTTGTCACAGTTGTATTGAAAAATCGGTATTTCTGAACGTCATTTTACCATTACGGAAGTATAACTCAAACAAAATAAAATGTTTACTATACAGCTAGGACTAGGTTAAGGCGAAAGAGGCGCCTAGAGCACAAATTTTAAGGAGGCAAGACTACTACCCCGACAGTGAACGCCTCCTTAACACTTGCTCCCCAGGCGGTTCCCACTCCCCAGCCGGGCCCCGCCCTAGTTCAATCAATCAAGAAAATCAAGAGTACGAAGGCCTTGTGCGGTCTGGATGGTCTTTCCACGTCTCACGTGCAGTTAAGCCAGTCACACTCCATCCACCCTACTCGCCATGGAAAATTATTTGTTCAGCAGGAATTAACAAGTCAAATACAGCCATATAAAGCCCCCCTCCGACGTGCCAGGTTTGCCTCCGGAAAGCAGCCACCAAAACCACCAGCAGCCCGTCCGCGCCGGGAAACGCGCCCTCGCTGGGTTGGCGGGCCACGCGGACAGTTCTAAATCCCTTTCCCCGTAACGCAGACGCACACCTGCCTTCCCTTGGGAAACAGCGGCCCAACGTGCGCCGGCAACGCGTAAAGCGTCAACAGCTGAAACCCTCGGAATCCGCGCCAAACAGAAACAACCACCCCTGCCAGCTGCGCGCTCGGGGGAAAAGACGTTGAGCCCCTGCCGATTGCCGGTTTCCGGGGGCGCGAGCCCGGATCTCAAGTGGTCAGTCCCGGTACGCAGCCACGGCGAGGACCCGGCGCTGCGAAGGGAGAAGGGAAGCCGTTTCCCGCGGGCTTCATAGAGCCACCGTATTAAGACAGCCCGAGTCGCGGACAAGTCCAACAGGCAGGCGGATCCGCGGGCAGCCCGCGTGCGCGAGGACCCCGGTGGCGGCGCTGGGTGGCGGGAAGGAGGAAGTTTCAAAGCCAGGTGGCCTGGTTGTGGCCTCTGGGCGAGATGAAGCTACAGTGTGAGGTGGAGGTGATCAGCCGGCACTTGCCCGCCTTGGGGCTTAGGAACCGGGGCAAGGGCGTCCGAGCCGTGTTGAGCCTCTGTCAGCAGACTTCCAGGAGTCAGCCGTCGGCCCGAGCCTTCCTGCTCATCTCCACCCTGAAGGACAAGCGCGGGACCCGCTATGAGGTGCGTGAAGTGGTCAGGCCCTGTCAGCCTCGCGTTCTTCTTGGAAGCCGAGACGCGGGCCGCCCTCGGTCCTCATGCGCTCGCCTGCTCCCGAGGCGAGAGCCCGCCTTGGGGGTTCCTGAACTCCCAGCCCTGAGACCTACTACCAACCCGACCCCAGGGTCCTGTGCGTCTTCCTACGGACCCGAAAGAAGAAAGCTTTTGAGAGTGCACCTTTTCGATATTTTTCCTCCCCACTTTTACGACTTTGAATTTACAGTGTTGCTATTTAGTAGTGGATGGCAATCCCGCCTGTTTCAAGCTTCTGAAATTTTGCGTGAAACAACTGCAAATGAAGCCGCTGTCCAATTCGGGAACAGTAAAATAACTGCACTTCTGTTCAGTGAATTCTTTCTCCCACAGTATTTTCCTTAGCTTAAAAAAGGAGGTCATAGCATCCTGCACTTCCCTTGTCTTGATATTTGTTATAAGTACTTGTTTAATAACGCTCTCTCATTAGATTGTCAACTCTAAGTGTAGTTACCCAGTCAGTCTTGTTCATTGCTATGTCCCTAGACCCTATTAGAGTACCTGGTACATAGTGGGTTGTGACTCAATAGTTGTTGAAATCTAAAGCAGATGCAACAGCAATCATTAATTTTTTTTAATTTTAAATATTCCATTTATATAGATGATAGTCATTAAAATTTTTTTGAGCATCCATTATGTGTCAGTCACCGTTCTTGCACTCAGGATAGAATAGCAAAGGAGACAAGATTCCTGCTGTCATGGAGTTTGTATATAATTTACTGGAAGGTGTGCCCACCCCAGGCTAATGGACTGAAGTTATGAAGGCAAGTAACTACTATTGGCAACTCTACCTACAGTTACATAGTTGGAATGGGAGAAGAGGAGCATTCTCTCAAAACATGGTGATCCTGTTCTCAAAGGAGAGTTACTGGACAGACAGAGCAGTAACATCCACTACCAGCTAGATGGGGAGTATAACTTCCCAACTGCTTAAAAAAAAAAAAAAAAAA